CACTGGGTTATCTGAGTCCACACTGCCATATATTCTAGTTCAAAGCAGTTGACATGGGATTTTATTCAGATGTATGGAAGCTATTTCTGGATTTAAGGCATTGGCATGCTGGCTGATATCCAAACAGAGGATATCAATGCCTTGGTCCTTTCATTAATCATCATCATCATTATAACTTTACTTATAACCTGTCCTATCTCCCCCAGGGGACTCAGGGAGGTTTCCAACAAAGGATTGCAAGCAATCAATGCCATAAAACAATACAAAATGAACAAATAGCCCCATGAATAAAACATCTGTAAGAAATTATAACAACTACTCACAAAGTTTAAATAATTAAATAAAACAGATAAATCTATTAAGCCTACAAAGTAACAAAATGAATCCATTTAAAAACAATTTAAAACAGTTAAAATAACCACTGTTATATAATTTATCATTACTGGCTGCTACTTCCTGACGAATATCAGGTGGTGCAATACAGTATAATTTCTCCAGCGGTGTTGGGGGTAGACATCCTGTGATAATACGGCATGTCTCATTAAGAGCCAAATCCACTGTTTTAATGTGGTGAGATGTATTCCACACTTGAGTATGCATTCTCAGCATTGAAATAGCAAAGCGCAACAATGGGTGATTCCTGGCTTGTCAACAGTACATGTGAAAAAGACCTTGGAGTCTTTGTGGACAGCAAGTTGAACATGAGCCAACAATGATGCAGCAGCTAAAAAAGCCAGTGGGGTTTTGGGCTGCATCAATAGAAATCTAGTTCTAGATCGAAGGAAGTCACAGTGCCTCTCTGTTCTGCTTTGGTCAGACCTCACCTGGAATACTGTGTCCCCACAATTCAAAAGATATATTTACTCTAAGCTGGAACATGTCCAGTGGCATTTTAGTGGCAACTAAAATGATCAAAGGTCTGAAGTCTATGAATCCTTATGAGGAACACCTTAAAGAACTGGGCATGTTTAGCCTGCAGAAGAGAAGGTTGAGAGGAGACATGGTGCCATGTATAAATATGTGAAAGGGTGTCATAAGGAAGAGGGAGCAGGCTTGTTTTCTGCCCATGAAACTAGGACTCAGTTGAGCAATGGCTTCAAATTACAGGAGAGGAGATTCCACCTAAACATGAGGAAGAACTTCCTGACTGTAAGAGCTATTCAGCAGTGGCACTCTCTGCCTTGGAATGTGCTGGAAGCTCCTTTCTTGGAAGCTTTTAAACAGAGGCTGAATGGCCATCTGTCAGGGATATTTTGATTGTGCTTTTGCTGCCTGGCAGAGGGTTAGACAAGATGGCCCAGGTGGTCTCTTCCGGCTTTACCATACTATGATTCTATCACTATAATAATGATGATGATGATGATGATGTTGATATACACAGAAGGCCTTGCTGTGGGTGTGCATGCCTTCGGTGGACAGGAGTCCAAGAGAGATTATTATTATCAACATCATGTATGCATTTTAAAAGTTAATCCAAATCAAGTGCTCAGAAAATAGATGTAAAAATCGCCAAATGATAGAATACAGCTTTGCAGTTTCTTTAGAGCTAACAGAACATCTTCTCTTTCAGCAAAGTTTTATTTTAAATTTATGGTATGCGTTGCATATAAAGTGGTACAATTCTTATTTTTTTCCCCCCGGTAGAAGAACACAAAGGATTGGTTGCGAAAATGTCACTTGATTTTGACAGCGCAGCTCTACAAATGCAACATGAAGACGAAGAGTATGACCAGGAGGATTATGTTAGGGAGCAGGAGGTAAGACTTGGGGTTCGTTTCATGGTCGCTGCAATTCTTTTGTACAGGGCGGGCCAAAAGTCACATAACGTTTCATTGTTTAATAACTCCTTTTAAATTTTCATTTTTAATTTAATAATAATTTTAATTTAATGTATAATTTAATTTAATGTACAGGAATTCCGTGTTCTCAATGGCAAGGGTGTTGCAAAATTCCATATCTCTGAACAACCCTGATGCATTCTTTTGTGAGACTGTTGCAAAATTGGTAACTTTTAAGTATGCTTTCTGTTTATCTTTGACTTCCTCTTGTTGTATCTGCCTGTGTTGTGATTTTGTTGCTGTCTGCTAGTAAAGGCTGTGTATATATTTCTATCTGTGGCCCTCCAAGTGCTTTGGACTTCAGAATTCCTGCCTAGGGCTTCTGGGAGTTACATGTAACCCCCCCCCCCCCCCCCCCCCCCCCCCCCCCCCCCCTCCCCCCCCCCCCCCCCCCCCCCCCCCCCCCCCCCCCCCCCCCCCCCCCCCAAGTAAAACATCAGATGGCCTTGTGACTTTGGCCTGCCCTGTACAAACCAGAGGTTTTTATATTTTAAAACTGTGTTAAAGTGATGTGCCAAAGCACAAAAATAAATGTATATTCAATGTGGAAAGCAGTATTGATCATATTTTAACCTGCTTCATTTCCTCATGGCTTTAATATTTGCAGAAATTTTACTTCTCTACTTGGACTTTAAAACATTTGGGTTTGTCGTATACTCATTAAGTGCTTTGACTCTTTTCTCTTGGTTATTCAGTGGTTTTGCCTTTGCTTTCAGAAGCGGTTTATTCTGTTTCCCATCTGGCTGCTTCTTGAGAATAGCTTTTTTAAAAACATGTCTTCGACTCATAGTACAAGTAAATTCTGGATATGCTTTAGATGTGTTTATTATAATTGGAAATCCTATCATAGGAATGTACTTAGTTAATTAGGGGTCTAACTACTTTCAAACACTTGTATCAGTAAGGCTTACTGAACAACTCTTGTTTTTAAATAATATCTTGGGCTTGCTATTTTTTGTGATATGGCATATTTGGAATGGAGTCCTATAGACAAATACTGGACTACGATTCATTAAAAATGAGTATTACATCTGAATAAACATGTACTGGCACAGAATAATGTAATTTATCATAAATGTTTGAAGCAGATGACTACATTGAGTTGTCCTGGTTACATTTCTCAGAATGGTAAACCAATAATCTTAGTTGTTTGTTCTGTTCTGTTAGAAATGTAATACAATGTTCTGGTTGCAGATGACACGATAAATAAATAGTTCTTGAATCACCAAAGAGTGTTGGTGTCTCACCAAGCCTCAAATCCCAGGATGCCATAACATTGGAACATGGCAGTTAAAGCATTAATTCTATAGTGTAGCTGCCCCTCTATTGTGATATAATTAACCTCATAATCTCTGAGGATGCTTGACATAGATGTAGGCGAAACATCAGAAGAGAATGCCTCTAGAACATGGCCATATAGCCCGACAAAACCTACAACAACCCATTATTTTTTGGTTATTGTTTTGTTGTGATATAATAAACCATTATTCTTTGGTTATTGTTCTGTGTGAACTTAGCATGTTCCTTTAACACCAAATATATTATGGTTATGCATGTTTTGGATACCAGTCTATGAAGTGGTGTATAACTAACTCACCCACAGTTTTGTTTCTTTCATAATCCAATTTTACAGTCTCATGTTCAGAAAAACTAACATTTCTGTCAACTTGAAAATGCTTTGTCTGTCCCAGTTTGGAGACGTTAGTCATCATTTCTTCCAGGAACTATCTTCTCACTAAAGCTAATGCTGTTGTCTTGGGAAGAGAGATTTCTAGTGACATCATAATCTCATGCATCTCTCATGATGTCACTCAGGCAGCATCTTGCTATGTGGCTAATTTTAAAAGAAGACTTAAATAAAATACCTATGTCATGTGTTAAATATAAGGCTTATGTACATTCTGGGGCTAGGTGTTGTAACATAAGTGCAGTATGTTTCCTTCTGCTTGGAATATTTAGGAATGTGGGTGTCCTTTTTCTGTGAAGACAGAATATCGGATATTCAATGCAGCATTTCAGTATGTGCTTTTTTGTGAATTCAAGTGTATTGCATGTTGGAGAGGGCAGTGTTTGGGAATGCCTGTTCCACTATTGTTTTTTCTTGAGTACTGGGGTGGGAATAACCTACAGATGGATGGAGGATTTTTAACTTAAACGGGCTGGCAGAACGTTGGATAAGCGAGACTCTACTGTATTTTGACCCCTCGCATCTGTCTTGGAAACACTGGTGCAAATTATTCACTTGTCTCGTTCTTGCCTTTTTCCTCTTGTTTTCTATTTTTGACCAGTTAAAAAGATTAAATGGTGAAAAACATAGAGAACTTGATAGCTAAGAATTGTTGTGTGTGTTTGCTTTTCCTAAAATGCAAGATCCTAAAGTGTTGTGCTGTTGGCCTGGTTTTTATGAGAATACTTATAAACATACTAGCTGTTCCTGCCATGCATTGCTGTGGCCCAGTCTTTGTATATGTGTTTTGTGTGTGTATATATATTTGTGTATATGTGTATATATGTGTGCTTGCATATATATGTGGTTTTGCACATGTGTTTTAATGTTGTGTGCATATATTTGTGTATATGTGTATATATGTATGTTTGTGTGTGTGTGTATATATATATGTCAGTGTGTGTATATATATGTGTGTGTATATATTTGAGTATTTCTGTGTTTATATGTGTATGTATATTATGTATATGTGTGTGCTTGGGTATATTCTTATATGTGTGTGTGTATGTATATGTGTGTAGGTGTATATGTAGGTATGTATATATGTGTTTATTTGTGTGTGCTTGCATATGTGTGTGTGTGCATGTCTGTATGTATGGGTGCTTGTGTATATGTGTATGAACATATGTGTATATGTATATATGGTTTATTTTGTGGGTTTTTTAAGTCCATTCTTCTGGTTTTTTATGTGTTTTTAGGGGTGATGGATACTCGTTGGCCTGATAGGTGTATTGTGTCCAAATTTGGTGTCAATTCGTCCAGTGGTTTTTGAGTTATGTTAATCCCACAAACGAATTTTTATTTATATAGATTGTACAAAATGAAGTTGAGTGGATAGAGTTTCGGAAGTCTAGGAACTTTAAGGTGGCAATAATGTTCGAACTAGTATAATTTTAGACTTCCTAGATATCCTTAACTGGCTTACCAAAAGACAGATATAATGTTGATGATGATTTTGGTGCAATATTGTCCTTCTTTGCCAATATAGTAACTACTTCATTTAAAATGAGGGAGTTTATTTCTGTAATTTGCTCCTCCTCATTGTAGGTTATTGCTTCTGCTCTATTTAACAAAATATGTATAGGCTTTGTTAGTGTGGAAAAACACAGGTTTGGGTGCCAAGTTTCGATTCAATACTTGCTTATGCTGTTGTGTACAGATTTCTAGTAACCTTGTGAGAAAAAGAAAATGTACTGCACAGATGTATCTCTTGAGATCCATTCTATGTACCAAAACCTTACTGATGGTTTAGAAGAACAGGTACTTTCTATACAAGATTCCTTGCTTCAAGTAAGTACAGAACGTTTCTTTTATTTTAACTTCTGGAGAGTAACTTCCACAAAGTGAAGGGCTCAAATGTAAAGAATTTGAGTGGTTAGGTGTTCTAGGAATGATACTGTGTGTGCATTTTACCATATAAAAGCAAAGCAAAACAAAAAAAGCCTTCATTCTGCAGAAACATAGTCAAAGACATGTAGTACACTAACTGACCAAGATTAACTGAAATACTGAATGTCATTTTATTAACAGCAACTCCAATTTTGAAGAATTTATCTCTCATTCCAGGTTGTTAACTTTTGTTGCATGCCAGGCAATGCCATAATCATTGTTTTTCTGCTGACATGCAACCTGGTTGGTACTTAGATGGGAGTCTGCCAATGAATACTGGGTGATATGTGCTGTGCTATACTGTATTTTAGAGGAAGGAAAAGCATATCTTGAGTATTTCTTCTCTAATAAAACCCCAATGAAATCCATTCAGTCACCATACATTAACAGACAACTTTTGATTTTCTTCAGATGTAAACTATAGACTCTAATGGGAACCTTCTATCTCATGATCATTTTTTCATCGTATTTCATGCTAATCAAGCTGCGCTTAAGTAGTAGCAATAAAAACAGGTTAATCAAAAGCATGTGTATAAGACCAGCTCCCACAAGTGAATGTGTTTTATAGTGGCTTATGTCTATGTAATTGAGGGAGAAAATGCTTTTTTATTTGCTGAAATGTTAATAACACAGCAGGGCAAAACAGCACCTTTGCATTACAGCTCTATTATAATGAAATAAAATCTTCAGCAATTTTATAATAATAACTAGCCGTCCCCTGCCGTGCATTGCTGTAGCCCAGTCTGTGTATATGTGTTTTGTGTGTGTGTGTGTACATGTGGTTTTGCACATGCGTTGTAATGAATTTTTATTTTTTGGCTTTTTAAGTCTCTTCAATAGTATTTTTCAGTGTTTTCATAAGTGATGGTCACTTGTTGTTCTGATAGGTGTATTGTGTCCAAATTTGGTGTCAATTTGTCCAGTGGTTTTTGAGTTATGTTAATCCCACAAACGAACATTACATTTTTATTTATATAAACTATATGTATTATTGAAAATTTGTTGCAAAAGTATTTTGGTCGAGCTCTTGTATTAATGGATCCATATTCCATGTTCCCCTGGTGGTGCAGCGGGTTAAATCGCTGAGCTGCTGAACTTGCTGACCAAAAAGTTGGCAGTTAGAATCCGGGGAGCTGGGTGAGCTCCCGCTGTTAGGCCCAGCTTCTGCCAACCTAGCAGTTCGAAAACATGCACGTGTGAGTAGATCAATAGGTTTGGTGGGAAGGTCACGGCGCTCCATGCAGTCATGCTGGCCACATCACCTTGGAGGTGTCTACGGAGAACACTGGTTCTTCGGCTTAGAAATTGAGATGAGCACCACACCCCAGAGTCGGACACGACTAGACTTAATGACTAGACTTAAACCTTTACTATTCCATGTTCATGTTGTTATTATGTCTTATTTCAGCTGCAACAACTGTTGACAGATCTTCCCCATGATATGCTGGAAGATAGTGGAGATCACCTCTCTGACTATAGTGTAACTGGAGACCATGAACGGTAAGAACCTTAATTTTTTTATTCCCTCACTCATGAATTTGGAAAGTATTGCTGTCCTAAAGCTAAATGAAAAGTAACTGTATTTTCAGTGAAACAAAGGAAGAAACTTATTTATACTGATTTATCTAATTCTATATATGCCATAATCATGCTATACATTTTGACATGATTTCTGTGCCTTTTTCTATATTCTCTGTAGTTTAAATGAACCTTGGGAACAGAATGGCAACCAATGGAATGATCATCCAGTTGCAACAAACACACAAAATGTAAGTTCATAGAACTCACAGTAGAATACCTTCTAAAATGTTTTTGATCTGTTTTGTGATGAGTTTGAAAAATGGGCCCGTATGAATAGCTTGTTATCTATCTTGGAAATTTTCAAGTAATTCATAGTTATCAAAATCTATTGCATTGTATTAAATGTCATAAAGAAATGCCTAGGAAACTCTAGGTCATTGCTTCAAGTTGCTGCATCTCTTTTCTCTGAGTTTGTTAAGGAAGAGAGCACACCTCTCTCATTACTTGTTTCCATTGTTCATATATTTTAACTAGTCAGTAAACCTTTCTTAATTTTCTCTTATCCTTGATGTGTTCTGGTTCCTTCATCTAACTTTTCCCCATTTCCTTTTATTTCCATTTCTGTGTTTAACTCCATCACTTTTCATTTTTCTGCTCTTTCTGCTATCACGCACTCTTCTGCAATTGGATGATTCAAATGAAGAGGAGTAGGCAGATTGTCAGGAACCTGCAGCTCCTGATAATGATGATTTCTCTGAGTCTTGAGGAACTGAAGGTTGAAGCAGAGGGGCAAGGTTGTTCCTCAGCAGGAGGCTACAGACCCATTATCAGAATTCATTAAGTGATAAAGAGATAAAGAGGCTTTGTAATGCTTTCAGTGGTTATTAAGTAGAAAACACTGACCTCATTGGGTCCCTGGTATCTGGAGACAGCTGGCTATAAATCTATCATTTGTGCTTTCCTCAATGTGAACTGGCTATGATTTGCAATCCTGTTTTACATCTTGCTGGCTTTATGTATCTGGAATTCTGATGTGCTGACCAACTCCTGGATCCTCTGACGACTGCTCTCTTGTGTCTCCCTTCATCCTTCTGTGACTGACATGAACTGAGTTAACTTCTCAACACCTTTTGTATTCTAACCACCTGATTCCTGTGACATTTGCTGACTGGAGCGTAGAATACTTTGTTCAATTACGAGGGTTGAATGAAAAGTAATGCCTCCACCTTCGTAACTCCTCAACAGATGTCAGTATTGGTATGCAGCAGGTACTGGCTTGTTCAGTAGACTCTCCTCAACAGTTCCATTTTGGTGGGAAGCCTTAGCATTGAACAGTTGTGTTGTTAAAGTGTGAAGTATGGAACCCTGCACAGTCAGTCAATGCGACTTAAGCAACATGCAGTCATTGAATTCTTGACAGCAGAAGGTGTCACCCCAAAGGAGATTCATCAGAGAATGCAAGCTGCTTATGGTGGTTGTGTCGATGTGAGTACTGTGCGTCGTTGGGTGAGTAAGTTTAAAGATGTTGCGGTGGGAACATCTGGCTTGCGCGACAACCAAAGAGTTGGACGCCCTGTGATAGCAACCACCGAGTTTCACAAGCAAAAGGTTGACAGATTGATTCAGGACTACTGTCTTATCACTCAGAGAGAAATTTCAAGCATAATTGGCATTTCACAAGAACATGTGGGTCACATTATTGCTTTGCTTAGCTATCAGAAGAACTGTGCACGATGGGTTGCGGAAACAGAGTGTCGACTTCTTCCGTGACGGCTTCAGAAAACGTGTTAATCATTGGTAGAAATGTATTCAATTGTCTGGTGATTATGTGGGAAAGTGAATAGTGGTAATGAAGGTGGAGGCATTAGTTTTCATTCAACCCTTGTATCTTCTCATTTTCTGACACATTTTGCTTCTTGTGTCTGTAACAGCCTCAGTCATGCCAGTGTATGTTTTTTGGATATATGAATAATATCTCTTAATTTTCTGACACTCAAGCTAAGGATTGAATAGAAAGCAAATGGAGAAAAAAAGTTTGCCACCTTAAAATAATGACTCCACTCTTTCTACTTAGACAAGAAAAAAAAAACATGCTGTGCATTAATAATACAAACAGCAAGGCGAATCATTCATCATAAGGGGAAATATAGAAAGAAGAGTTTAAATGTAAGGAATAGTAAGGCAATAACTCATATAAAAAGAACAATGAGGTTCATATAGGTTTAAAGCATTTAAAACATCACAAATGAGATGTACAGTACTCCCACATTATCTTAAAAGACCATTCCATAGCATGTTGAAGGCCAAAGGCTTTTCTAAATAAAAAGAGAGCAGAGAGTGCTGTAGTTTATGTTACCTTCCCATGGGATGGAGTGTCACTAAAGGCCATGAGACTGAAATAGAGTCTTCCTGCAAAGATTTTGAGATGTGAATATACTCGTGTGGAGAATTTGGATCTTTCGGATCGTTTCAGATCCCTTTTTCATGGCAATGTATTTCAAACTGCAACTTTTGTGGCATATATATTATTACCTGACTTTAAATTTGCAGGATTATGAACAGGGTCAGAATGTGTATGGTGAACACTTTCTGTATGATCAAGGAAATATCCAAGGTGAAATGCGTGCCAGAGAATGGCCTGACCATCACAATGAAAGTGAAGACAAAAGCATGTATGAGATCTCTGGCAGGGTTAGTGAAAATGGGTCTGACGACGTGTATCTCGGTGGAGACGGATTTCAAACTCCTAGCCAATACCAACAAACCAATGCGTATCACCTTCCAGAAAACTTTAGACCGTTTACCAATGGACACCAGCAAGAACTCAGTAACCAGCACAGCAAAAATCCAAACATCATTGATGCTAAGAACGAGCACTTGAAGGTTGGTGGATTAGTGTGTTATCCCTTTCCCCACCAATGTCCATCACTTACGTTGTTAAAACTGGTATTCCAAGCAGATAATAAAGAGGAATGTCAGTCTCCATTTTTGAAATATTTTGAGTATTTAGTGAATATTTTTGAGTTAATAATTTTAAGATTAAATCCTTGATGTGGTCCTTGTTCAGTTCCTTGAATGTTTGACTACAAGTTGAGTCTCTCTTACCAGAAATGTTTGGGAACAGTTTTTCTGGATTTTTTTGTTTGTTTTTGGAACACCTGAAATTTGATTGGATGGAGGGCGAGTAAGGTGGGGAAGACTTTCTCTAAGACATCCTGACACTCATCAGGGGGATGCTTTTGCACTGGTCTTCTCTTTCTAATTTTTATTCAGTCTTATACATTTATGTTATAATTGCAGTTTGGCACTTCAGAAGCAACTACCAAGCAATCCGTGGAGCCTTATAAAGTACTATATAAGCCATACCAGAATAACATTCAGCAGCCAGTCCCTGTTTCTCCAGATGCAGCGAGAAGAAATGAAATGTTTGAAGAAATGCAGCAAGAATTTCTGGGAACTAGTGAGAGTAAGTGTTCAGCCATGATTCTAAGAATTGATTTGATACTTTTTAATTTTGTTTGAACACAGGTCTCTTACCAAGTGGTAAATGGACTTTGATCTGAGGAGCATGTAAGACAGTTGTATGTATTTCTGTAGGCCAACTAGGCCCCAAAATCTTGTCCTTGCACTTTACTATTGTTCTGTACTTAAATTTATAATGTTCTATTCTCATACTGCTCTCTATCTCCACTGTTGCCATATGATCTTTGCACTTTATCCATCAGCCCTATCCTCACAATTGCTTTTGCACCAGCCCACCTACCTGTACCCAGAAACTAATTGTTATCACAGAGCTCACTGGTTGTTGGTTGATGTTTGCTTTTATATTTTATTATAATGCTGTTGTTTTATTCTGTTTTATATTGGCATTATATATTTTAATGTGCTATATTTAAATCCTGCTTTTTGAGCTCATCTCCATGTAAGCCACCCCGAGTCCCTTTGGGGAGATGGAGGTGAGGTACTGAAATAAAGTTATTATTATTATTATTATTATTATTATTATTATTATTATTATTTATAAACATAACAAGATGAGTCCACAGCAGACAAGATCACTCTGCTGGCTGTTGTATTGGATCACATGTCAAACACTTCCCAAGAGTCTGGGACTGTGTGATGTATTGGTGTATAATGTATGCAGATCCCAGTAAGGTGGCCTTCTGCAGTCGGCAGATGGTAATTTTGTCATCACAGATTGTGTTTAAGTGTAGGCCAAGGTATTTAGGTACTGCACCCAGTGTGCCGATCACCACTGGGACCACCTTTACTGGCTTGTGCATTATTATTATTATTATTATTATTATTATTATCTATAGTTCTTTGTCATGCTTATGAGAAGAGTGATAGTGCAGGAACCTCAGTATTTCAAGCCATAGAGATAGAAGAATTCATTTAAATCTTTTTTTTTGTATTGTCAAAGTGAGCTAATAGCAACACTAAGCTGTAGAATGACAATATTGTTCTAACAGACAGTTTAGGGTCTCACATAGAAAGAACTGTGTAAAATGGGGTAGGGAACTGTGTTTGGACTGTGTTTCCCCATAATTTGTTATCATTCGCTATAGCGGTTGAAGCTTCTGGGAAGTAAAGTGCCCTAAACTGAAAGGCCAAGGTTTGACTTTCCTGTTGTTTAACAAACCGAAACGTGAAACTCAAGATGCATCTGATAGAATTTACCATAAAGTTCAGTAATTCTGATGAGAGAAAATTTCCTTTAAGAATTTTATTTTGTGTCCTGATACTTTATCTGCATTGACAGATTCTTCAGAAAACATGCAGATTCTACAACTTCAAGTTCTTAATAAAGCAAAAGAACGAAAACTGGAGGAATTTAACAAGCAGCTGGAAGAAAGGGCACAGCAGATTAGGTATCTCTCTCATCAGCTTGCAATCATGAAAGGTACATTCCTGTTCTGGGGGCAGGATCTGCAGAGGGTGGGTTGTATCTTCATGGAGATCTATCTTCTATATAAATAAAAATGTAATGTTCATTTTTGGGATTAACATAACTCAAAAACCACTGGACGAATTCTCATCAAATTTGGACACAAGACACCTCTCAGGCCAATGAGTGACCATCACTCCTAAAACACACACACAAAAAACACAGTAGAAGAGACTTTAAAAGCCAAAAAACAAAAAAGCATTACAATGCATGCACAAAACCACATATATACACAATCACTGAACTTGGATGACAATCTTACTCGGACAACAAGGGCTCACCTAAGTGAGTACACAAACATACACACACATATATATACACACAAAACACATATACACAGACTGAGCCACAGCAACACATGGCAGGGGACGGCTAGTTGAAAATAAAAGATGAACAGCAGTTCTTTTATGGGTTAACTGGAGAACACATCAGGGTTTTTTTCCCTGTGATACTTCACAATGAATGGGAGAACTAATACTATAGTTAAGCGGAGAATGGCATGGGATGCTTGTAGTAATCCACAGCATACATATCACTAATGTCAGGTCACACCCCCTTCTAGAATTGTCAAAAAACTTTTAGTTAGGGGACAGAAGACCTGTACACACCCTGTAATTCTAGTACTGGCATAGCCACAGAAGCTGGATTATCTGGGAATACTAACATTAAGTGCTTCTGTAGGTCTTGTGCCATAGAATGTGTACATACATTGTAATGGTTCAGTTCATGACATTGATCCCAAGAGAACAAAATACAGACTTTTACACAAACAATAAGCAACATTACAGACTATTTTCCCTTTGCTAGCTGTTCATCAGTGAATATCCAGTATATATTCTGTCTTTGAAGCAGTGTAATAGAAGACTGAAAAGCAACATTAAACAAAATGCTAAAACTTTGCAAATAGGACAGTCTAGAAGAGTGTCAGTAGTAGTTTAAATGAGGAGCTAAACTGTCGCCTCTTTCATTCACACTCTGTAGTAGTTTATGCTCATTAAATTAAGCTAATCTAATCAGTGCCTAATTTTATATTCATGGTTCTGGAGACAAGTTCTGTTTGTTCTCTTCATTCTAGTCCCTACATTCATGACATTCTTTACATTTTTTGCGATTGAGATTTTCCTGTAGTTAATGTAGTTGTTGGTCTCATACCTACTTTGACTGGAAATATTTAAGCATTGATTAAAGTCTCAGGTGAAATCTAAAAAAGATGCTTTTAAGGCTAGGATTTGTCCTACTTCATTTTTGATCTTTGAAAATATCAAGCAAACTTTGATGTTCTAAGTATTTACTTTCTCACAAATTCTTGAAAAAAGATGTATTGTAGTGATATAAATATTTATGTTGTGCAGATGAAAAAGATGGCATGTATCTTAGTCTTCAGGAAAGTCAAAAACTCTATCAAAATGGCAAGGAAAGAGAACTCCAGCTTGAAGGCCAAATAAAAGCACTTGAAGCCGAAATTCAAACTCTAAAGACCAACGAGGAGCAGGTAGTGTAACTCTTTTAAGTCTGCATAGTTATTTTAAAATTATGTCAATGCTTATATCATATTTGCATCTGACTGTAAAATAATACTTAGGTGTAATGTGTGAGTTGGAACACTATGGTACTTATAGTGAACTCAACTTATGATTTAGGTACTAGTAAAGCACTTCTACTAGCATGAATTTTTTTTCTCTTTTCTTTCCAATGTTTACAATTAGGTTCTTCTGTGAAATTTAACCATGGTATACATTGATAGTTGCTTATGTTAGAGGTGCCACAGACTCATTTGAATGTGATTTGGATTAATGTGTGTGGTATTTTTGGCAGTTGGTCAAAAAAGCCAAAGTAGCAGAAGTTGCCATGGAAAGCGTGCAGCAGCAACTCTTAGAACTTAGGCGATCCGATTCCCTTCAGCGCGCAAGGGAGCAGCACGAGGCCATTGTTGCAGCACTCCAACAGAAAAATGAAGAACAAGTCTCATCTCTGCAGCAGAAACTTGATGCTAAGCATGTAGCACTGCAGGAGCAGGTCAGACTCCTTGAATAATTGTTGTGGAAGGAAATTTGTCAAAAAGAGTAATTGTGCATATTGGCTTGGAAGTAAGTTCCATTGTGTTCAATGGAATTTATCCCAATATCACATTGCATAGGACGTTGAAAATAATAAGGTGTAGATCAGGCACTTCATGCTATTGTAAGAACTTAATTGGCTGCCCTTGTGAAGATAGTGTCAATTTGCAGATATAGAATAGGGGTTTCTCTTAATTATGGGTATGGTACCCACCACTTAAACTGAGCCAGGTGACAATATAGAAGTAATGTAATAATAATAATAACTGGAAAAGCTGACACAATATGAGGATTTAAAGATCGAACTGCAAAGATTCTGGCACTAACCAGTAAAGGTGGTCCCAGTGGTGATCGGAACACTGGGTGCAGTACCTAAAGACTTTGGCCTGCACTTAAACACAATCGGCACTGACAAAATTACCATCTGCCAGCTGCAGAAGGCCACCTTACTGGGATCTGCATGCATTATTTGCCGATACATCACACAGTCCTAGACACTTGGGAAGTGTCCGACATGTGATCCAATACCACAGCAGCCAGCAGAGTGTCTGCTGTGGACTCATCTTGTTGTGTTTCTAATAATAATAATAATAATAATAATAATAATAATAATAATAATGGTACATTTATTTGTTTCCTGCCTCTCCTAACTGGTGTGCTTCCATTTGCATGAGAAGCCTATACTAGATTTTTATTTAGGCTAATAGAGATACTTTCCAAACTTTAAGGTCACCTAAAATAACGTCAAGATTTTGTTAGCGCAAAATTTCTTTACCATCTGTTCAATCCTAAGAAATTTAGCACTAACTTCTCTAGAGATGCTTCAATCTTGATTTTGTAGACTGCCTCCTTTTATATAAAATTATTATTGCTGAAAGCTTGGGCAATCAGGTGTGGGTCTTAGTTCAGAATGGCTGTGAGTTTCATTCACTTTTGGTAGACAGCGCAAATTATTAGACTCAGAATTTTCAGTTTTACATATTTGCCTTTGCACAAGGGTCCCATTGGTCGATCTGCAGTGTCTAGTAAAAACATACGGCAAATGCCATTGTTTCTGAAACAATAAACGGTGAATCATACAGCTGCCTCCTTGTAATAACTCCTCCTCCCTTTGAATTGTGATCAGTTATTTAGAAGAATCCCTCATATCCCAGAAGTCCTGGCCAGCTTGTCCAGTGGTCAAGAATTTTGGAAACTGAAGGCCAAGACACCTGGAGGGCCACATGTTGTCCAAGCTTGCCTTCTATCATACTTTTCTGCTTTGTATTTCCTTGGAAACTTATTTAAGCATATTGGGATAATTTTGTTAAAGCAGGACATACTGAAGGTGAATGGCTTGCTCCAGGTTCCAATTAATCATGCCTTATTAGACTGGAGAATAGTGACATCTGAACTGCTTTAAAAGCTTACTTTTGCATTTTAAAAAAGTCATACTGTTACAAAAGTAGAAAAATTGAATGGTGTTCCCTTTTAATATTAGACTTTATATGTCCATGTAGGCTACTTTTTAAAATATATATATTATTTTATTATTTTATCATAGTTTGATACATTTGTTATACATTGTTTATTTACAGCAGATTCATATTATTCAATACAATCTATCATACTTTAACTTTTGGTATCTACTGTTATTTTTCTGCTTATACATATTATCTATCCCTCCCCCCCTCCCAAGCCACAGCTTTTACATATCATCTGTCCAAAATTTAAATTCTTCTTGTGGAGGTAACTTTTCTTCTTTCTTTTTAACTACCTTTTCAATAAATTTTCTCCACATTTCATCAAAATCACTTTGTTTCCATATACCTCTTTTTAACTTTTAATATACACGTCAGCTTATCATTTATTGCCAATTTCCATATTTCCTTGTACCACTCCTCTATTTGTATATTTAATTCTCTTTTCCAATTCCTTGCTATAAGCAGTCTTGCCATGTATACTACTTGCCAGGTAATGCAGTCATCTCTTATCAGACAGAACTTTGCTGCCATCTCAAGGAAAATGTGAAGCAACTTGAAAGAACTCTTGAAGAAAGCAAATTAGAAAAGAATGAAATGATCAATCGACTCTCGAGGAGCCTAGAAGAAAGTCAGAATCAGTGTGCGAATCTCCTCCAGACAGGTATCTCCTCAAGGCCTTGTTTTGCCAGGAAAACCTAAAATGAGAAACTCCAGAAAGTTAGATAAGCATTGTATGAAAAATTAGAGTGATATTCTGGTGGTCATGATGTAAATGCAGTTGTTCTTTGGCAAATAAGTTAATTTGAAAATAGATGTTTTAATAAGAAGCTTTAGAAATCGTCAGTCTTTAGTTATTCTGAGTAATTGATACATTATACGAAATAATTTACATCAGATGTTTTGCTTTGGTTGGCAAGCTTAAGAAGCATTTGGACCAGAAGTCTGATATACCTAAGTGGAGAGAGAGGCTTCTTGTCAGGACGGAAACTTGTAAGAGAGGAAAACTTTAGAAATTAAGCTTCTATAATAAAGTAAATAAGTCATGACGAGTGTGACAGGCAATGCTTAAGTGACATGCACCTTGCCAAGTCTAGACTGAAAAATATTCCCTCCGGCGCAAGAAAACTTGTGAAATGCTTCTGTGAGAGTCGTAAAATTTGCAACTCTATACATGAAGACATTTCGTTCCTTTAAAAAAATTGTTTTCAACCCTTCACTCTTTTACCAAGTCCGCCTTGTTTGTCTGGCATGGTTTCACAGTTTCCTTTTCGCTTCAAGGAAAGCAAACATTTGACACGTCTTTAGTTACTCATCATTATTTTCATTTTAAAGTAGAAGGAAAAAAACACTCCAATGAAATAAAGCTACCACAGTTTGAAGCGCTGGAAAAGCTGGTCTCTCAAACGGAGAACTTGAATATCTTCCATTAATATGCAGTACAGCCCTCTTATCCGCAGGGGATACGTTCCTGAACTTACTTTGAGACAGGAAACTGTGGATAATAATGAAACCTATTGAAATGAATGACTTCTGCATAGAGTCACCGCAGAGGAACTGGAAATCTTTTTAAAGAAAACATGACCTTAAGACTACCTCCAATAGAAGTCAGTCATTTCAATAGCATTTACTCGCATGAAAACTGCCTTAGTAAAAGTCTCTTGATAATTTTTTCTGCTATTTTAGTAACTAAACAGTTCTGGCCCAACTTAGATGTCCGAACGCATCTCCCCTTATGAACCATCTAGGACCTTAAGATCATCTGGGGAGGCCCTGCTCTCGTTACCGCCTTTGTCACAAGCACGCCTGGCAGGGACGAGAGACAGGGCTTTCTCAGTGGTGCCCTCTCAGCGGTGGAATGCCCTCCCTATAGATATTAGATAGGCCACCTCCCTTTTAACATTCCAGGAAAAAAGTCAAGACGTGGCTTTTTAAACAAGCGTTTGCAAATGCAGAATAACTGACACAGGAAAATGGAACGACTAGACCATGAGTCTTTAAACTTTTTACACAGAGGGCCAGGTCACAGTCCCTCAAACTGTTGGAGAGCCGGATTATAATTTGAAAAAAAAAAAACATGAATGAATTCCTATGCACACTGTACATATCTTATTTGAAGTGAAAAAACACTTAAAAACAATACAATAATTAAAATGAAGAACAATTTCAACAAATATAAACTTACTAGCCTCCCCCTGCCATGCGTTGCTGTGGCCCAGTCTGGTGATCTGGAAAATATAGTAATGTGAAAGTGTTGGTTTCTAATATATGTAATGTCTTGATGCTTGTGGGTAAACAGTATTTCTTGCTGTTTCTTTGTCAGTGTTGATGTGGAGATTGTCTGGTTTGCCTACTCTGGAATTATCCTTCTTTAGGGGTCCCTTTCAAATCTATGATACTATCTCTCTCTCTCTCTCTCTCTCTGTGAATCATATATATCTATCTATATTTATGGCTGGATGGTTCTTTGTTAGGAGGGCTTTGATTACATTTTCTTGCCCTGGTGAAGAGAGTTGGACTGGATGGCCTTAAGTATTTCTGTTGGTCATGGGGGTTCTGTGTGGGAAGTTTGCCCCAATTTTGTTGGTGGGGTTCAGAATGCTCTTTGATTGTAGGTGAACTATAAATCCCAGTAACTACAAATCCCAAATGTCAAGGTCTATTTCCCCCAAACTCCATCTGTGCTCATATTTGGGCATATGGAATATTTATGCCAAGTTTGGTCCAGATCCATCATTGTTTGAGTCCACAGTGCTCTCTGGATGTAGATGAACTACAACTCCCAAACTCAAGGTCAATGCCCACCAAACCCTTCTAGTGTTTTCTGTTGGTCATGGGAGTCTGTGTGCCATGTTTGGTTCAATTCCATCGTTGGTGGAGTTCAGAATGCTCTTTGATTGTAGGTGAACTATAAATCCCAGCAACTACAACTCCCAAATGACAAAATCAATTTTTTTTGAGTGAAGGACATACATTGGGTTGTTAGGTGTATGCTATCCAAATTTGGTGTCAATTCGTCCAGTGGTTTTTGATTTATGTTAATCTCACAAACGAACACTACATTTTTATTTATATAGATTAGTATTTCAGTGGGAAGTGTGGGCCACTTTTGGCTGATGAGATAGGTTTGTTGTGTGCTTTCAAATCATTTCAGACTTGGGTTGACCCTGAGCGAGGGCCGGGTAAATGACCTTGGAGGGCCGTATCCGGCCCTTGGGCCTTAGTTTGAGGACTAGACAATGAGTCCGGACAACATTTTTAAGAGGGAGACACTATGAATTTAGATTTTATTTGTTTGGTTTTTTTATATGTTATGTTTTTAATTGTATTTATGACATTGTAAGCATTGAATTTTACCCTGTTAACCGCCTTGAGTCGCCTGCGGGCTGAAAAAGACGGTATACAAATACAGTAAATAAATAAATAAATAAATAAATAAACTCTTATGTTAAGGTTTAAAAGTAATTCCAGTTATTTTTCTCCAGGATTGGTCACAGAAACAAATCAATTACGGATACAGCTTCAACAAGCTCATTCTGCCCACTTAATAAGTACTGAAATGAACAAAGCTCTGCAGGTTGGTTCATTTTTCTCTTGAAATATTGTGAAACTTTTGCTTGGGCCTAGTTCAAAGGTGCTTGAATCAGCTTGAAAAGTCATTTTTGAACTGCAGTTATCATATCCCCTGGCTGAACCAGTTGGAGGAATCTAGAAATTCTTAATTATATCAGCTAAGACATTTTCAACAAATATTTCCCAGTAAATAGCTTGTATATTTGTAGGAAATACAAGCATAAGTGTCCAAGTGAATAGTCTGAGAGTACATGATTTTGCTTCATTGCTGAAATGAAGAGGGAGAAATGCCATTGGTGTTCAATGTGAGAACACGTGAACAAATGTTTAAGAAATAAATGCACGGGGTTGTTGTAGGTTTATAAAATGCATGCTTAGCATATGTTAAAAAGTGGCATTCAGAAGTTTGTATTCTGCCTTTTCATAATTCAGATATCAGGATAATCACTGACGCTGCTAGGGTAATATTGTTATATTTGTTTATTCTCCTGTAATTTATGTTTTTAGGAAGAGTTGAAGGAACTAAAAGAAGAAATTAGTTTATATGAATCTGCTGCAAAACATGGCGTGTTTCTCAGTAACCCAGATGGAGGATTGAATGCAGACATGTCTGATTCATATGTCGATTTGGGCATTAAAAAGAAAACAAAACTGAACAGGTATGTGATGTAAGCCTTTCTGATTTTTTTTTTTTTTTACAAAAAATTAAACAAATATGTTGAGCACTATATTTGGGAGCAAACTTACGCAAAAGTGGTTGGATCTGAAGGCGGGAGTCTAGGTAAATCATGTAATTCCCAGTAGCATAAAATATTGATACAACTAACTTCTTTCTTGTTACTTACAAAAAAAAAAAAAAACAGTTCAGAAGGAAATAGAGGACTTTCTAAAGATGAGATAATCTTAGAGCTAAAGGATGAAATGGAACGCTTGCTGAGAAGTCACAAATCAAAGCGGAACCGGATTTCCCAATTGCAGAATGACCTTGAAGATTGCCAGAGGACAATCGAAGAACTGAAGCAGCAGCTGATAAAGACAAATGTATACGAGGTTGGTTTGTTTTTAATATGTTTGGAAATATTGATATACTATTCTCCCTCTTAGTACAACTCAGAAGAATCTTACATAAATCATAATTGTTAAAACTGTTCATACAACCAAAACTGTACACTTTGGTGTACTCCAGGAACATGCATTAGAATGATGGTTGTCTAGATTGTTGAGACACTTTAAGAGTTTTCGGCACACCAAACAAACTGAAAGTTAGCACCCTAAATTCACAAAGGATTGGGTCTATTCGTGTCTTTGTTCTGTGGATATAGAACTGGCTCGTAGTGCTAACACAAAAGTTTTCTGAATAAATACTTTTCTTTTTTCTATAGTGTAAAGGAAAGAATATTCAAGGATCATCTGATACTTTACAGTCCACTACCTTTGAGGAAATTCTGAAGCTCAGAAAAGAAAATGAATTTTTGCGGCAAGAAACTGAGGTGAGTTTTTAAAGCAGGGGTCCCCAAACTAAGGCCAGAGGGCCAGAGACAGCCCTCCAAGGTCATTTACCCGGCCCTCACTCAGGGTCAACCTAAGTCTGAAATGACTTGAAAGCACACAACAACAACAACAACAACAATCCTATCTCATCAACCAAAAGCAGGCCCACACTTCTCATTGAAATACTAATAAGTTTATATTTGTTAAAATTATTCTTCATTTCAGTTATTGTATTGTTTAAAGGTGTTTTTTGCACTACAAATAAGATATGTGCAGTGTGCATAGGAATTCATTCATGATTTTTTTCAAATTATAACCTGGCACTCCCAAGAGTTTGAGGGACTATGACCTGGCCCTCTGTTTAAAAAGTCTGAGGACCCCTGTTTTAAAGGAACCAAAAAAGTCCTGCCATGAAAATTGTGAACCACACTGTACAATATCTTTTGATCCCATGGATAGTTTTAGGGAGGAAATGTTCATGTTACACATTTGAAATTCCAAAACAGAAACACTTTCATAGGAGTTATTTTTTTCTAGAATTTTCACAAACCTTTTCTGTTGTAAAGAAAGGAAAGAAGAGATTAAAATGTTGTGATTTTCCTTCTTTCACACTCACATTTCTAGCCACTTCTGATCATGCTATCCATAATACTTAAATGCCTTTAACACTAGAGTTGGGCCTGAATCACAAACAAAAAGATTTGTAGTTTTTGGTGGGCCATTTTCATGTAATTTCCAAAAACAGAAAGGGAAAGAGAGTGACAAAAAGACCAGTGAAACAAATTCAGAGAGACAATATTTTCAGAAAGAGTTAAGTCCACAAAATACTCGAGTCAAAGGGATCTGTGACATTTTGTTCTCTCACTGGCAGAAGGAGGATGAGGTAACTTGGAAAGTTACCTCCTCCTCCAGAGAGGGCCCTTAGAATGTTCTTTCCCAGTGGCACTAGCATAGGGTGGCCATTGATAGATCCTCTTGGAGCATGATGGGAGTTGAAGTTTTTCTCTCTGTGTATCTCTCAGCCAGTAAAAAGCCTGGTGGTGTCCATGCTCTAATTGGCTGAGAAGGGACACAACCGGCAACTACAACCGGCAACTACAATTCTGTCTTGCGGTTTGACTTATTTTTTTAAAATGTTATGTTTAAAACTTTAAATAATTCTAAAAAATCAGTAGATTGGTGAATTGCTTTGAAACTTGGCAGTTGTAAATGGGGGCTACAACTGAGATGGGTTTCGTGCAGATAGGCCTTAAAATTGCTGAGGATTGAGCTCCTATTGTAGCTAATGGACCAAATCTCTGCTGAATGAAACGGAAAACACCCCTTCCCTTTCGGGTAACTTACTGATAAACGAAATGAGGGGCCAGATGAAAACAGACCTGAAAACGGTATGCCTTTTGACCTGAAAGCACATGACTATTTAACACAGAATGCATTAATTGTTTAAATATTCTTTCAATTATTTTTCCTTTGAACAGTGCCATCATACACGGGTTCAAGAACTTACAAAAAAACAGGAAAAACTGCAAAATGCAAATCAAGAGCTGTGTAGTCAGATGAGACAAATGGTTCAGGACTGTGATCGTGATAAGCAAGAAGCCCTTGACAGGTAATTAGGGTAATAGAGAGCAAGGAGCTATTCTGTGTAAAAGGTTAGAACACGAGTTAGAGTGAGTTGGGAGTATCTTGTCAATCCCTCTTCTGCAAAGTCTGTTCTCAACTATATGCAACAAAAGGTTTGTCTCCTTTCCTTGCTTCAGATGTGAAAGGACATATCAACAACATTATGAGGATGTGAAGAAAAAGCTTTGTGAAGAGCTGATGGAAGGGCATAAGGAAAAAGAAAAAAAGCTTATCCAGGCTTATGAAGAGAACATTTGCCAGTTAAAGTAAACATCGTATTTCTTCAGCTTAGTTTTTTAAATGCTGCCTTTAAAAAGTTTTTAAAATGCTTGTGTCTTTTCTCCAAGGGCTGACATTGATGAATTGAACAAAGAGATGACTGCAGTGAAGGAATGTTACATTGCTGTCTGCAGAGATAGAGATGAATTGGAATCTACTTTAAAAGCAGGGTTTGAACAAGAGCAACAAGAGAGGGAAGACAAGGTTCGTGCAAGTATATGTTGCATATGTGCTATTCTAGAAATATGTCCTGAAGAAGACATATTGATTATTTGTCTTTGGGAATCATTTCTTTCCAATCTAGGTGTCATATTTTGAATATTAGTGTCTGTGATCTTTCAGTTAGTGGATATTGTTTTATTAAAGAGGTAAATCTACATCTATTATAACCATGATTAGCATTAACTAATGTGGAGCTGGACAGCAGCCCTTAGAAGTACACAAAAGGGGACTTTTCCCATGTAAACCATCAGATTTGTTGCGATAGTATATAAATGTTGGTGTGTGTGTGGGGGGGGGGGGTAATAAACAATTGAACCATTAACATTCAAGATTTCAAGTCTTAAACACTTCTGTTGATTCTGTGAACATGTTATGAAATGTTTTCACACTCCAACCACTAAGGATACAATGAGGATTGAAGCCTCAGTCATAGATGGACCAAGCTCCAACCTTGCTTCACATAATAGATTTTAAATCACTTTATTAGTGCTGTAAATACCAATTTATCAGTAGAATAAGCCACTCAAGGGTAGATGAGCACCTGTCAGGTGTATAAACGCTAATGATTGTTATACGGATGTTTAATGATTTATGTTACAATTGTTTTTAATTGCCCTATACTTGTCTCGTGATGTTTTGTATCGATGTTGTTCACCGCTTTGAGTCGCCTGAGGGATGAGAAAAGCAGTATATAAATAAAGTAAAATTAAATAAAATAATAAACATAATAAAATGGTGCAATACAATACATAGTGATATATACCCAAACCCCATTTTGCTTGGAGCTAAAGTTGGGATGTGGTTTAAGCCAAAGACTCCATGGGAAAGTTGAAGGAGTGTTATGAAAAACTTTTCAATAACTTAGGTTCTTTTTATTGCAATTTTCCAGGAAGAGAAAGAGTATGAGAACTTTTACAGAACAACTTTTAGACATACAAAGATACAGATTCTGTGTAACTACATTGGATTCACAAACAACCTACAGTTACATTGGCTAACAAACAAACAAAAGGGGGAGGTTACATTTTCACTTAGCATTCACATATAAACATCTAGAGGGGATGTGGCTTTAAAAAGGGAATTTTCAGAGATGTTCCCAATGCCCATATGTCATGAGTTACTGCCATATTGGACTATTTCTACAGTAGGCCTATGTTTACAGAAAATGGTGATTGTTTGAGAAATCAGTGCTCCAAAGAAGAAGTTACTATTCAAGGATAACAGTATATCCGGACAAAACCAGCTAGCTTGTGGCTAGTTAGAATCCCCAAGTTTCCCAGTCGCTCTGAAGCCATGTTTGCAACAGTCATGGTCAGAGAACAATGGACTATAGTTATGTTATAGTTGTGCCATTGTTAGGATCCCACGTGTGCTATAATGTCAATCAAAATCATAAACAACTAATGAACAACTGTATAGCTAACTTAGACCAATGAAATGATTTGTCTTTGGGAACCAATGAAAATGTATATTCCATTTACTATAAATGCTCTGCAGCCCCATTCTGGGTTGCGACAAACCCTTTGATTGCATCCCTGTATGCTTGTTAGTTGTTATTGCTATGGCCACGCAATAAATAGTTTTCTGCAGTTTAAAAGTTTCAACTTCCGTGGTGTCCATCCTTGCCCTTCCCATTAGAAAGGGGACTTCTGCCTTTTTGGGAAATATTTTGGTTCCTTTGCCCCTACATTTTCTGGAGGTTCCATCCATCCTCATTCATACATCACCATTTCTCTATTCTTCTTCCGTGAAGAACATCTCTTAGGCCAGACTGCCTCCTTGCAAATCTGCCAACGTACAGTTTGAGAACTCCTTAAACTTCAAAATGCTTCTAAAACGCCAAAATGCATCCTTTTTTTCTGAGAACATGACTCCAAAATGCACTCCCTTGGGAAAAGGAGTCAAAGTATACAGAATGCGTTCCATTGCAGATCTGCCACTCCCAAATACATACATCATCTCTTTCGAACATGGCAGGTGGACCAGGCTCCTCCGGTCGCCACAATTTTTGGATTGTAATAAGGTCTCTTTATATAGTAATATTTCGCTGATGTTGTCCCAAAGTTGTAAATGAATGATACGCGTTTTCCCAGCCTGAAACATCCTGGCATCCCAGTTTCCTGGCAGAAGTTGACTCTTTGTAATTGGTGTTGATAAACACAAGCAGCTCTTTGTTGACTTCTTTCTTAACGTAAAGAATGTTGTAAACATTTCCTTAACTCAAAAGAGCCATTGTCTCTGGTTAATGTAAACAAGTTGTTTTCCCCCAAAAGTCCAACAGTTAATCATTTGTCACAGTTCTTATAAATGTCAGAAGTTTAGCAACTTTTAATTATAGTTTATATAATTCTGCCTATATCATCAGTGAAGCCCCCCCCCCCCCCCCCCCCCCCCCCCCCCCCCCCCCCCCCCCCCCCCGGAACCAACTACTGCTCTGGCCAGAGTGAAGACAGAGGGGAGCAGAAGACAGTTCCATCTTGTATTTACTAATAATATAATATAGTATATTGTATATACATATAATATTTATAATATTATAATGTAATACAATATAATACTAGTAATACTAATACAATATTATAATTATAATTATATATATTTACATTACATGTAATATTACTAATAATATTACAATATAATGGTTTAGTGCAATATAGTAATATATAATACTGATATTGTACTATTCTAATAATATAATATATTGTATGAAAATATATATTGTAAGCCGCTCTGAGTCCCCTTCGGGGTGAGAAGGGCGGCATATAAATGCCGTAAACAAACAAACAAACAAATAAATAGTAGTGTAGTTAATGATTTTTCCATTGCAGGCCTTAATCTTTTATAATGGTGTCTTCGGCCAAATTGGGCCCCATCCACACACCTTTCTTGCAATTCATTCAAGCTATATATCATATTCATTCATGACATCAGCACAGAAGGATTCCAGGTGGGGCTCACAGGGCACAGCTCTTTGAATTAGTTAATTGCAAAGCAGCCTTCCGGGTGAATGAGGAAAGGGTTGTGAATGAAATGAAGTACATACCAAGCAAAATAAAGAGACAGGGTTGCTTGGGGTTAGTGATGTTGTATTAATAAAGCAAAATCAAATGCTCAGTAAACCTCTTCCCTCTTTCGTACCATCTCTTATTTTGAAGAAAATGACAGGAAGCAGAAAGATTCCTAATTTTATCTTAACAAGTGAGATGTCCAATAAAACCATTTTCACTTATAAACCTTGCTCTTTACTGAAATCCGATTATGGAGGACTACGAGTAAGACTGTTATGTTGCCTGAATAACGTTTAGCAGCCTTATTTGGTTTTGCCCAGCTCAAGAAACGGTTATTGGAGGAAAAGGAAGCATCTTTGAGCAAGCTGAGGACAGAATTAGAAGAAGCTCACCAGAATGCCATGGTACTCGCTAAGGGTCAGTGGCAGAAAGAAAAAGAAGATGAGAAGAAGAAGCACACTGAGAATGAAATTGCTAAAGCCAAAGCCCTTTGGGGGAAAGAACTGGAACAGGTTGGTATAATGCACTGCTTCTTACACTGTGGGCCCTGACCCCAAATGGGGTCCCTTTAGTTCAATAATGGGGGTCACAAAAAGTTCGGCAACAGTGAAAGGTTTCTGAATGGCATCCATTTACACAAATCTATTAGTAGAAACGTTCAGTATTTACAATGGACTCTGCAGAGGATGCTTCAGCTGTGTTTTATAAAATGGAAAATCAGCCTGTTTAGAAAACCTTGCAAATGTTAATTTCTTAAAATTAACATTTGATTTTATACCTGTTTTATATGCCTATATATCTTGGGTCAATAAAAAAATCAGACAGAAAGGGGTCGTGAGTGGGAAAATGTGAGAAATCCTGCTATAATGTGTTGGAAATGGCAACCTCAAGCCTCCACTAGTTATTTGCTATGTATATAATTGCTTACTGTAATGTATGTGTGTATTGGTTTACAATTTTGCCAGATCTCTTTGATGTGGGAGGGGCTGTCGAACATGGTAAGAATTGGGCATATTCAGGACTCTGACTCCATTTTAGTTCAGTGTTTGCTTTAGACTTCAGTGGAGATGGATGACTTTAGACTTCAGTAGGAACAGTATACTGTACAGAAGCCATTAGATTCTTAGAGAGAGTAGAAACCATCTGTGTGCTTTAGACTTCAATGCAGGAACATTTCAAATAATAATAATAATAATAATAATAATAACAACTTTATTTATGTTCTGCTCTATCTCCCCAAAGGGACTCAGGGTGGATTCCAAACATAAAAGGCAAACATTCAGTGCCTGAATACAACAATAATACATCCATATTAACAAAATTTGTACAATCTAACATATAAATACGAATTATAACTTAACAAACTAAAATTAAATAAAAAACACAGGCTGTTATAACAGACATAAGACAAAACATCATTCTTCATGCATGTAAAGAAAAAAAATGTATTCACTTTGATTCTTTTAGAAACGTATACGAAATCTAGCTCTTACATTTCACAGTTTAAGTAAATTGCCTTGTTTATATATTTTTTTAAAACCACTTTTACCCACAGGCCAAAGAGCAAGTTATCCAGGAGGTTGAAAAAGAATGGCGGAGTAGATTGGATCAAGCTCTGGAAGAAGCGAAGAGACCAGTCCTAGAACTCAAAGATCACGGCAACCAAACAGAACCGTTATCCATCAAAGATGACATGCTACGCCAACTCATTGCAGAGGCGGTTGAAGAGCAAACACTCCTATTTCGGGAAACACTGAAGGAAAAGGAAAATGCACTGAGAGAACATGAAACTAGACATCACGAAAGCATTGCTAGTCAGGTAACAAGACAACACGCTGTTCTGCTTTTTTCAATAGAGCCTCCCAAAAAAAGTACACAAAGCAAAAGTTGCCACAATATATATTGGGCTATATTTAGCCACACTTTGCTGGAGTAAGTGAAAAGTAGGGAATTATTAATGCAGATTTTAAAAGTTTCACATTGTTTTTAAATGGTTAAAAATGTCAAGATGTATATGTCTGTAGAAAGCAGATGTTTTCTTAACTAGCTTTTCATTCTGGATTGTGGTGGAGGATCCTTCTTTGGAGGCTTTTAAGCAGAGGCCAGATGGCCATCTGCCAGGGATGCTTTGAATGTCATTTTTCTACTTCTTGGCAGGGGGTTGGACTAGATGGCCCACAAGGTCTCTATGATCCTGATGACTGCGGTCCTGAGCACAGCTAGACAGGCTAGAATCCCATTGGTTTCACTGGAAGCTAAACTGTAGGGAGAAAAGGCTGCTTCCAAAATATCGACATGAAAAATAACGTTCCTTTGTTTTGCTTTCTTTGAAATTGGTCTGAAGCCAAATGTCTCAGATCTTTCCTGATTCTCCTTTTACCTTTTCCTTACCATTTCCAGGTGGAATCAGCTCTCACGAAGGCTCGAACCAGGTGGTTACAGGAACTGACTCAGCTTGAGGAGTTCAAAGCGCATCTCAAAGTAGCCAAGGGAAAATGGGAGAAGGAATCTGAACTTAGCACCGCAAAACAGGTAGCGGAGAATGAAACTTGCACTGATTGGATGACAAGATTTAAATGGAAGATTTCAAATGATCCCGCATGCGACTACATATAATTGGGAAAATGACAATATACGATTCATAGAACAGAGACATATGATCTGTGTCTATAAGGCATATTTCTGCTCTGTCAGACTGTGATAACACAAATGTGTCTGTAATAACACATTTAGTGAGGGCATTTCTATTCATTTTCTTCCTAATTTTCTCTCACAATTCTAAAAGCATCTAACATAAAGTAAAAGCTTCCCCTGACATTAAGTCTAGTTGTGTCCAACTCTGGGGGTTGGTGCTAATCTCCATTTCTAAGCCAAAGAGCCGATGTTGTCCGCGTGTGAATCATATATATCCATCTATATCTATGGCTTTCTCAGGAGGGCTTTGATTACGTTTTCTTGCCCTAGTGAATTGGACTGGATGGCCTAAAGTATTTTCTGTTGGTCAGGGGGGTTCTGTGTGGAAAGTTTGTCCCAATTCTCTCATTGGTGGTTCAGAATGCTCTTTGATTGTAGGTGAACTAAAATCCCAAATGTCAAGGTCTATTTCCCCCAACTCCATCTGTGTTCATATTTGGGCATATGGAATATTTGTGCCAAGTTTGGTCCAGATCCATCATTGTTTGAGTCCACAGTGCTCTCTGGATGTAGGTGAACTACAACTCCCAAACTCAAAGTCAATGCCCACCAAACCCTTCTAGTGTTTTCTGTCGATCATGGGAGCCCTGTGTTCCACGTTTGGTTCAATTCCATCATTTGTGGAGTTCAGATTGCTCTTTCATTGTAGGTGAATTATAAATCCCAGCAACTACAACTCCCAATGACAAAATCAATTTTGAGTGATGGTCACTCCTTGGGTTAGTAGGTGTCTTGTGGCCAAATTTGGCGGCAATTTGCCCAGTGGTTTTTGAGTTATGTTAATCCCACAAACGAACATTACATATTTATTTATATAGATTTTAGGGGACTGGAGAATGGAGTGGAGGGATTAGCAAATCTGGTAGAATAGAGGAATCCATTTGATCCTGGCCCATATTCTTCGCCGAGCTATTCAACTCCTGTAGAATATGTTGGAAATCTCCAAGGCATCACTCAGTCTGTTATGGTTTGCATTCTTTAGGTCTCATTGGTTCTTTCTGCCACTGAAGAGAAATGGAAGAAGGAAATCGAGAACAGTGATAAACTTAGAGTCAGGAACAAGGAGCTGGAAGAAAAAATATTTTCCCTTAAAAGGGAGCTGGAGCTGAAAAAAGACGAAATCCCAGCCATTGTTAAAACCGAACTGGCAAAAGCGCGGACTCAGTGGAACAAGGAAAAGCAGGAGGAGGTGCACAGGATACAAGAACAAAACGAAAAAGATTACCACTCCTTTTTGCAAGACCACAGGAACAAAATCAACGAGGTCCTTGCAAAAGTCAAAGCAGACTTTGCAAAGCAAAAGAAAGAATTGCTCGATCAGAAAGAGACGGAGCTGAAGATGCACCTGGAGCAAAAGCAACAAGAGTGTGCCGTTCAGGAAGCTAAGAGATTGCAAAATGAAATCAGCCAATATGAGGACAGGATCCTGGTTCAGGTGGAACTCCTCCTAGATGACATGCACAAGGATTTGGTCAGATGCGCAGGTGATCAGCGTACATGGCAAGCAAAGTGGACTCTTCATCCTCTTCATGGCAACCCTCCATTCAAAGAGAAACTGACATTTTGTCTACAGAAAGCATATAAAGCCACCATCTGTGCCATTCTCGAGAAACGCAAACAAACATGGAAGGAGGTAACTATTATATCCCTATAAACTATTTGCATTTTGACTTTCACATTCATATTAAGCACAGCTGTAATCAGGGTTTCATTTTTAGCAGTGTTTGATGTCTTTGCAAAACAACTGGAAAAGATTATAGTTTGTTTGTTTATTTATTTATGTATTTACAGCATTAATATTCTGCCCTTCTTACCCCAAAGGGGACTCTGGGTGGATCACAGAACACATACACGGCAAACATTCAATGCCGTTAAACAGTCAGGACAGACAACAGATAGATGTGTATGTCGGCATTTTTTCCCCAACTTCGGCATCCTGGAAGTTGTGTTCAATTCCGGCCACAGGGTGGGAGGTGCTATCGCTCCATCTTCTATGATGAAGAGCCCTTGATCACAACCTTCCTCCTTCCTTTGATTACCAGCATTTTCTGGTATTTCCTTTTTATGGTGTTGTAAAATATCTCCCCATTTAGCTGTGCCTACTTTCTCTACTCACAGCTGTTTTTGAACTGCATAGGTAGACAGTGAACTGGGCTGCAGGTCAGGTGCTTACCCCGACCTGGGCATCGAACTGCCAACCTTTCAATTGGTGTGATCTATTGCTGCAGGTGATTAACCAGCTGTGCCAAAGCCCATCTGATAAATACTTTCATAAATGTAGTTCATAAAATTAGGGATTTCATCTAATCTTATTTCATATTAACGTTCATGAAATGTTTGCCTTTGTCCTGGGCACGTTGCATGGGAGATTCAGAAAATCTGGAATCAGAAAATATATTTGGGCAGAGGCATATATATGCTCTTTATCTCAGTTCACCATATTTCAAGAGGACATGATATTTCCATTTATTTTATTGTTTGCTTCTTAAATTAATAAATCACGTTCTTTGAAAGTTTGAACTGTGAGCACCAAACATTCTCAACAAAATCAATAAATAAAATGAAAGCAGTAAAGTCCTTTAAGCAATGTCATTTTTTTCTCCACATGCCTTGAAATGAATTGGTTGTATAATAATAATAATAATAATAATAATAATAATAATAATAATAATAATAATACTTTGTTTTTATACCCCACCTCCATCTCCCCGAAGGGACTCGGGGCGGCTTTTTCTCCACATGCCTTGAAATGAATTGGTTGTATAATAATAATAATAATAATAATAAAACTTTGTTTTTATACCCCGCCTCCATCTTCCCGAAGGGACTCGGGGCGGCTTACATGGGACCAAGCCCAGTCAACAAAGTTAAAACATAGCATATTTAAAATACATAACATCAGCATAAAACAACATAGAACAACATTATTACAATATATAAAACAAACATCAGAAACAACAACCAATAGTATAATTCAAGTCTCGTTGTAAGTGGGCTGGAGTATCTTAAGTATTTAGCTGAAGGATATAGTAGATCCTTTGAAGTTTTTCTTATCATAGTATGATATATTGGATTGTGTGTTGGACTATAACTCAGTGGTTCCCAACCTTTGGTCTTCCAGGTGTTTTGGACTTCAGCTCTCACAGTTCCTAAGCTGATCAGATGGCTGGGATTTCTGGGAGCTGAAGTCCAAAACACCTGGAGGACCAAAGGTTGGGAATCGCTGTTTAGAGTCTAAGGTTCACACTTGCTGACCTCAGGGAAGTCCTACTCTCTCTGCCCCATTGGAAGGAAAAAAAGCAGACCTCCTTTGACAAAATATTGTCCAAAAAACTCACATGATAGTTTGACCTTGAGGTCACTACAATTTGGAGATGACTTGAAGGCAAACTGCAGTAACTTCCATCAACATGTTACCTTTCAGATTGTTAGGGGAAACTACCCTAAACTAAAGCAGAGCATCCAAAACCAAACAGGATACAAAAGTTGAGCATCAGCTCATTAGCAAGCAAACTGTGAATTGCAAAGTGGGTGTAAAGAATTTAGAGCTTAGGAGGCAAACATGCAGAGTCCAATCTTAAAAAAAAATCACAAAATGTTTATTTACAATAATAAGAAATAACTACATTTCTTAATAGTAAAGAACTGGGTCTGAGCTACTCTAACACCCATCTCTTCTAAGGTTTGAAAGAGAGGGAAAAACACAAATCACTACATCTCTCCTGGCACACAAGCAGAGAGAGATCTCAAAGCACATAGCACATATTCTCCATACTAAAGTGTAAGAAAGGCAGAAGTGAGATTCAAAAAAGTAGAAAAGTATCCATTTTAAACAACTAAACAGCATGAAAGCAGAAACAGAGGAAAAAAGAAATTAGATGCATTCCAACTGTCATACAGGCAACATGAGGAAAGGAAAACTTTTAGTGTATGCTTAACTAACTTCTCCCCATTGAGGACTTGAAACTTGGGCAGTGTGGGGTTGAATTCCAACACAAATAAGGTAGGTACACTCCCATAATCTCCACCAATGCTTCTGAAAGTTGGGGAAGTCAGTCTCTGGACTGCAGGCATACCTCTACTTCTGTATGTATATATATATATATATATATATATTTAAAAATAACTAGGAAGCTATAGCTTAATGGAAAGCCTTTGGAAACTTAAGTTTGTTATATCCATTGTAGAAACATGAGGATATGGGGTATAATTTCAAAGATTTGGAGGACCGTTGCCTGCAAAATGAAGGAGAAACTGGGGACAAAGCAAGGCCTATCTTGTATGATGTGGGACAGCAAATCGAATTACAAAGAATGTTAAGAAAGAAGCCATCTTTGCAGGAGACGGAAGTGGATACTGGTATTCTTCATTTTTATTTCCCCCCCTCTAAAATTTTGATCTGAATGATACATGTTTGAAACAGCTGCAGATTTTATAGTGATATTTGGCATTCTGTACTGGCTCAGTCATACAATTATAGTTTAGGTTCAAGACTATGCATTAGTTTAATTGTCTATTATGGGGACAGTAACATCCAATGTTAGAGAGGTGCTGGATACGTATTGTAAGTCACTAGTGGTTCCTGGGCAGGTGGAAGATAAGAAAACCTAGATTTAAAAACAGTGCTTGTAACTACCAGTTTGTAGTGTCACCCAATCACTCACCCTTTTTTAGAAATGTGAGATCCATAATCGAGAGAAATATGAGGCTTGAATGAAAAGTAATGCCTCCACCTTTGTAACTCCTCAGCAGATGGCAGTATTGGTATGCGGCAGGTACTGGCTTGTTTAGTAGACTCTCCTCTACAGTTCCATTTTTTGTGGGAAGACTTAACATTGAATGGTTGTGTTGTTAAAGTGCGAAGTATGAAACCCTGTGCAGACAGTCAGTCAATGTGACTTAAGCAACGTGCAGTCATTGAATTCTTCACAGCAGAAGGTGTCACCTTAACATCTTTAAACTTGCTTGCCCAACGACGCACAGTACTCACATCAATACAATCACTATAAGAGCTTGCATTCTCTGATGAATCTCCTTTGGGGTGACACCTTCTGCTGTCAAGAATTCAATGACTGCATGTTGCTTAAGTGGCATTGACCGATGCCTGTGCAGGATTCCATACTTTGCACTTCAACAACACAACCGTTCAATGCTAAGGTTTCCTGCCAATATGGAACTGTAGAGGAGAGTCTGCTGAACAAGCCAGTACCTGTCACATACCTGTACTGCCATCTGTTGAGGAGTTACGATGGTGGAGGCATTACTTTTCATTCAACCCTCATATTTGTAACTTGTTTTGATGGTTAATTACAGGTTCTAACTACAGGAAGCAAAACCTGTTACCTCAAGAAGGCATTTGTTGTGACCGTTGCCGCCATCAGATTGAAAGAAAAGAAAAAGAATGTCAGGATTTGAAAAAGAAACTTGACAAAGCTTGCAAACATCTCCAGCTTGCTGTGAAGGAACAGAAGTCAAAACTGGAACAAGGTTTGTACACTTCTTAAATTATGATGGCTTTCCGACCCGGATGTTGGTGTACTACAGGAAACTGGTCCTCGTGTGCAGGTTTTCTGTGCTTTTTGCCCTTGATGGGTAGCAAATGTTGAGCTTTTTCTGTTGCCAAACAGTGTATCTGGGTTTCTGAAAATCTGTGTTTGGCGTAAAACATCTGGCCTATTCATATGTCTAATGACGTCATAGAGAAAAATAGCAAATGGTCAATGTGGATTCGATAATCGCTGCGGATTTTATCACTTGCATTAACTGACAAACAAAGCTGAGACCCTGTAGACTTTCAAAATAGTGTAATGTATCTGGATTCACTCTATAGGAGTGGTTCTCAACCTTCCTTAACATAGTTCCTCATCTTGTGGTGACACCCAACCATAAAATTATTTTTGTTGCTACTTCATAACTGCTACTGTTATGAATCATAATGTAAATATCTGATATGCAGGACCCCAGGMGCCCCGACCCTCAGGTTGCTAGGAAAACTAAATTARTAGTCCATGTCTAAAAGGTGTGACACCAAAATGAAATGTTTGGAAACTTCTAGCCTAGCAAGCTGWCATCCAGTGCGTCAGTACCCATAGATCTGGAATGTAGTTGGTTTGCTCTCTGCCCGTTGTTCCAAATGATTGGGGGGGGGGGGGCATGAGATGGGATGACAGTGGCAGGAAAATAGACTTATATGTTGCATTTTGTTGTTTTAGACAAAACTGTGGAGGCTTTAACAGAAGAAAACTCTGTGTTGAAGACTAAACTTGACAATCTGAAATCTGCTAGTGTTCCCCCAAGGTACTGTATACTGTTCAACTTAGGTAAAGTTTTTCCCCTGACATTAAATCCAGTCGTATCCAACTCTGGGAATTGGTGCTCATCTCCATTTCTAAGCCGAAGAGCCAGCATTGTCCGTAGACACCTTCAAGGTCATGTGGCCAGCATGGAGCGCTGTTGCTGATTCACTCTCAGCTTGAATATCTTTTTGTGCTTGTAGATCATTGTCGGAAGGGTATGTCTCAAAGCCTTGCACTTCCTGCGATGGAAAAGCTTTGGAAGAAATGCGTTCCCAGTATATTAAAGCAGTGGGCAAAATCAAGAGTGAGTGCAGAAAAAAAATGTTTGTTTTTCAATATCTGTTGTTTGCCGAGGAATAAAAAACAAGGTTGCCAGTAAAATTGATTGACCACATTTTGTATCCCTTTCCATTTCATGTTTTGTGCTATTATTATGGACTAAGAATCATGACTTTAGATAAAGGTAAAGGTTTCCCTTGACATTAAGTTTAGTCATGTCCAACTCTGGATAGTGGTGCTCATCTCCATTTCTAAGCCAAAGAGCCAGCGTTGTCCGCAGGCACCTCCTAGGTCATGTGACTGCCATGACTGCATGGAGCACTGTTACCTTCCCGCCAGAGCAATACCTATTGATGTACTCATATTTGCATGTTTTCAAACTGCTGGGTTGGCATAAGTTGGGGCTAACAGTGGGAGCTCACCCCACTCCCCGGATTCCAACTGCCAACCTTTTGGTCAGCAAGTTCAGCAGCTCAAATACAATGCAAACAGGATGATTTGGAAACTTGTCATACTTTAAAAGCAGTCATATCATGAGTTTTCATTATTAAAATCAAGAGGGAAACAAAGCTGACTGCATGGAGCACCATAACCTTCCCACTAAAGTGGTACCTATTAATTTACTTACATTTGCAAGTTTTCGAACTACTAGGTTGGCAGAAGCTGGGACTAACAGTGGGAGCTCACCCCATTCATGGATAGATAGATAGATAGATAGATAGATAGATAGATAGATAGATAGATAGATAGATAGAAAAATACAAGGGGGGTATGGGGATAAAAAAGAAGAGTGGGTATCTTTTTCTACAAGTAAAGTGGGAGAACAATAATATGATAGAAAAGTAGGAAAGTAAGATGAAGAAAGAAAAATATATAAAAACATCGGGAAAAAGATTCAAGATTTGTCAAGAAAAAAAATCCCATTCACAGATTTGAACCACCAACCTTTTGGTCAGCAAAGTCAGCAGCTCAGCGGTTTAACCTGCTGCACCACCTGGGGGCCCTAAATTTTGGCTTTAAGATACATTTTATCACATTTTTAGGTGATATGCTTCGTTACATTCATGACAGTAAAGAGAGAGCTGCAGAAATTATTAAATCAGAAGTATTAAGGGAACGCCAGGAGACGGCCCGGAAGATGCGCAAATACTACCTTATTTGTCTTCAGCAACTTCTGAATGACGATGGAAAGCATGAAGGGTAATGTATTTCCTATATTTTTAAAGCATAACGGGTAATGTGTTTCCTATGTTTTTAAAGCATGACGGGTAATGTGTTTCCTATGTATTGTTCCTATGGAACCAATACCAACAATACTCGTCTTTGGTTAGCCCTTGTACCCTGAAATATTTAAAAACATAATTTGTTTTATAGTAATCATATACAACTAGCTGTCCCCTGCCACACGTTGCTGTGGCCCAGTCTGTGTATGTGTGTTTTGTGTGTGTGTATATATTTGTGTATATGTGTATATATGTGTTTTGCGTACATATATGTGATTTTGCGCATGCATTGTAATTTATGTCGTTCTGCGCATGTGCTGTAGCATCTTTTTGGTTTTTGGGTTTTTTTGCTTTTTAAGTCCCTCATGCTGGGTTTTTCAGTGTTTTTATGAGTGATGGTCACTCGTTGCCCAGAGAGGTGTCTTGTGTCCAAATTTGGTGTCAATTCGCCCAGTGGTTTTTGAGTTATGTTAATCCCACAAACGAACATTATATTTTTATTTATATAGACTAGCTGTACACGCCATGTGTTGCTGTGGCCAAACTTCTTTCCCTCTTTCTTTCTCTTTTTCCTTCTCTCCTTCCCTCCCTCCCTCTTTTCTTCCCTCTTTTTCTTTCTCTTCTTCTTTCTTCCTTCTCTACCTGTTTTCCTTTCTTGCTTCCTTTGCTCTTTGATTTCATCCTTCCTTGTCTCTTTCATTCCTTCCCTCTCTCTTCCTCTCTTTTGTTCCTTCTCTCCTTCCTTCCCTTTCTCTTTCCTCCCTTTCACTTTTTTATTTCCTTCTCTCTTTCCTTCCTTCTCTACCTTTCTCTCTTTCCTTCCTTCGCTCATTCCCTCCTTCTTTCCCTCTTTCTCTACCTTCTTCTCTCCTTCCCTCCTTCTCTCCTTCCCTCCTTCTTTCCCTCTTTCTCTACCTTCTTCTCTCCTTCCCTCCTTCTTTCCCTCTTTCTCTACCTCCTTCTCTCCTTCCTTCCTTCCCTTTCTCTTTCCTTCCTTTCACTTTTTTATTTCCTTCTCTCTTTCCTTCCTTCTCTACCTTTCTCTCTTTCCTTCCTTCTCTCATTCCCTCCTCCTTTCCCTCTTTCTCTACCTCCTTCTCTCCTTCCTTCTCTCATTCCCTCCTTCTTTCCCTCTTTCTCTACCTCCTCTCTTTCCTTCCTTCTGTCATTCCCTTCTTCTTTCCCTCTCTTTCCTTCCTTCTGTCATTCCCTTCTTCTTTCCCTCTTTCTCTACCTCCTTCTCTCCTTCCTTCCTTCCTTCCTTCCTTCCTTCCTTCCTTCCTTCCTTCCTTCCTTCCTTCTCCCTTTCTGTGTATATGTGTTTTGTTTATGCATATATGTGTGTATACATTTGTGTAAATATGTGTGTTTGTTTATATATGTGGTTTTGCTTATGAGTTGTAATGTATTTTTTGGTTTTTGGCTTTAAAGGTCTCTTCTGCTGTGTTTTTATGAGTGATGGTCACTCGTTGACGTGATAGGTGTATTGTGTCCAAATTTGGTGTAAATTCGTCCAGTGGTTTTTGAGTTTTGTTTATCCCACAAACAGACATTACATTTTTATTTATATAGATTATCTAATTATTAATGATTATTAGTCAGTTCTGTGATTTTTCTTTCTCCCCAGCATTTTGTTACAGAAATGCTAAAGCAGAGGCCGGAAGGAAGTTAGATAAGAAGAAGTTGTTTACAACATCAATAAAATTTGGTAGAGGCAGGAAATATGTAATATGTTTGTTTTCCAAGAAGAATCTTCCATTATTTCTTTTCAGCTTATAGATAAAAGGAATTAGTAGTAGTTCCCCTAACCTAGGCATGAGCAAACTTTGGCGCTCCAGGTGTTTTGGACTCCAACTCCCACAATTCCTAACAGCCGGTAGGCTGTTAGGAATTGTGGGAGTTGAAGTCCAAAACACCTGGAGGGCCAAAGTTTGCCCTTGCCTGCTCTAACTTGTAGGAGGACAGAATCATTCCATTTTGAATCTCAAAAATTCCTGTTAGGCCATAAATCTCGCAGATTGTGGGCATTACAAAGTCAGTATGAAACTTTGTGAGAATCAAAGATACGTATTATTTTTGTGGGGACCACTTCTGATTTATTTTTTTAACACTCCAAGACGTATCTCCTCATTTTGGTGGCAAAACTTCCTTTCAGATTGAAACTTTCAGTCAGATTAATTGAGGAAGATTTGGACTTTTGCAAATTCTTGAATGCATTGCAGGGCTGAGAAAAAAATTATCTGTGCTGCCGGCAAGATTGCAACAATGGCTAAAGTACTGGAAACCCCTGTTCGTAACTCACCTCCGAACAAAATAACCCACTCGGGTAAGTCAAGTAAAAACTTGTCTTGTTTTATTTTTCCATTCATGTTAATTCTCATAATATAAATTGAGAGAAGCCTCCCACAGGATGGTAAAACATCTGGGCATCCTAGGGGCAACGTCCTTGCAGACAGCCAATTCTCTCACACCAGAAGCAACTTGCAGTTTCTCAAGTCACTCCTGACATGAGAAAAAAATGAGAAAATGTATTGTTTGCATGTTTACTATCACAGTTATGTTGCATATTTTTTTTAACAAGGCTTCTGTATATATGAAGAAATTTGAGCTTGTTGAAGGGAAATTGACAATTCAATGCCAGTCTTCTTCAAGTTCTTTGCTTGCTTTGTTCTGCAGTTCTTATCTCCATTATGTGTTTCAGAAGAGGTGAATAATACTGTATTTTCATCACATAATAGTCACACTTATCTTTTGTGATCAAAAGAGAGAGGTGCGACTATTATGTGATGAATCTGCCTTTCATTCTTCTGTTTATGTTTTTTTTTAAGAATTATAATAAACTGCCTTACTCCCCAAAAGGGGAGGAGGAAAAGGAGGGATGATCCAGCTGCAAACAAAAAGCTCAATTTTTTCTTGGTTTTTTTTTAAAACTGTCTTGCCTTAGTGCAGTGGTTCCCAACCTGTGGTCCGTCGACCACCAGTGGTTTCCAAGTATCAAAATATGGTCCGTGGCCTCACCTTTACTACACCGTTGCATTGAGAGCGACTAGTCTCGCAAAACCCTCTTATAGTGTCGAGGCAATATTGAGAAGGGAGAGGCTAACTACTCACGAAAGGCGCGACGACATGCCTCCTGACTGCTGTTTCTCCTCCTCCATCCCTCCCCCTGAGCAGAGCCATTCCATGTGGCGCATTGGTATCTTCGTTTTTAGGCCTGTTCCTGGGGTGCTGATTCAGAAAACTGCATTGGATAGATTACATCAGCTCTAGATTATTAAATATGGTTTTCTGTGGGCAAGCAGATGGTGACTACATATGTTCTGTATCAGAAACTAAAGCTGATGTGGTCTATCCAATGCAATTTTCTGAATCAGCACTACAAATAACCACACCAAATCTGAAGTTGACCAAAAACTGATTCGTAACCCTTTTGGTACTAACGCTGGAGAGTGTTCCCTGGTCAAAGTGGTCCCTGGTCAATAAAAGGTTGGGAACCACTGCCATAGAGAAAGCAATAGGGAAGATTTTTCCTTTTTTCCTTCTTTCTCTGAGGCAAGGCAGATTATGAAATCTGGAATTAAGCTCTTTGGAGGAAGGGGGATTGTTGTTATAATTTTATGTGCCTTGTTTTATACTTTTGTACAGTTTTTACCTGTTGTATGTTATTATGTGCACCCTGGAGTGCCTTGTGAGTCTCCCCGAGTCCCTTCAGGGAGATGGTGGTGAGACATAAATAAAGTTTATAAAACAGGAGCTCCAGAGACCTGCATTTCAGGTTTTTAAGCTACCTTGTCTTTGGAGAAAGAAGAGGGAATTAGCCTCAAATGGCTCTGAGACTATTATGTGAGGAATCCTAAAATACCACTTTTGAGACCCAAAAAAGGGGGTAAGACTACTATGCAACTGTGACTATTATATGATGAAATATGGATAAAATTCTATATGCTGGATTTCATATCATTTATTATTAATATTATTATTATTATTATTATTATTAGTATTAGAAACACAACAAGATGAGTCCACAGCAGACACTCTGCTGGCTGCTGTTGTATTGGATCACACGTCGGAAACTTCCCAAGTGTCTAGGACTGTGTGATGTATCGGTGAATAATGCATGCAGATCCCAGTAAGGTGGCCTTTTTCAGCTGGCAGATGGTAATTTTGTCAGTGTCGATTGTGTTTAAGTGCACTGACAAAATTACCATCTGCCAACTGCAGAAGACACTGCACCCTGTGTGCTAATCACCACTGGGACCACCTTGACTGGCTTGTGCCAGAGTCTTTGCAGTCTGATCTTTAAATCCTCATATCATGTCAGCTTTTCCAGTTGTTTCTCTGTAATCCTGCTGTTGCCTGGGATTGCAACATCGATGATCCATACTTTGTTTTTTAACACGATTGTGAGGTTAGAAGTATTATGCTCCAAAACTCTGTCTGTCTGAATTTGGAAGTCCCAGAGTAGCTTGACATGTTCATTTTCTGTATGGAACTTGTGATCCCACCAGTTCTTTGCAGGCAGATGGTGTTTGTGGCACAAGTTCCAATTAATCATCTGAGCAACTGTGTTATGCCTCTGCTTGTAGTCTGTGCACGATCTTCTTGCAGCAGCTGAGGATGGGCTGTATTGTTTCATCTGCTTTCTTGCAGAGTCTACATTTGGGATCTGTTGTCAACTTTTCAATTCTGGCTTTGATAGCCTTGGTTCGAATGGCTTGTTCTTGGGCTGCCAGAATCAGGCCCTCCTTTGTCTCCTTTTTCAGAGTTCCATTTGTGAGCCACAACCATGTTTTTTCTTTGTCAATTTGGCTCTCAATTTTTCCCAGGAACTGTATATAGAGAGCTTTCTTTTGCCAGTTTTCTCTTCTGCTCTGCATTGTGTTTTTACGGTTGTTGTTGTTATTATTATTATTATTATTATTATTATTATTATTATTATTATTATTATTACCCCCAAGATTTGTATGAGGCTTACCCTGATAGTTTAGCAAGGCCACTCCAAATTGCAAAGCCTAATGGCTTGTTCTTATTATTACAGCCCTGTCACAAACCTCCAACGTTAATGGAGCTAAAAGAAATTACATGCAGCAAGCCAGGCCAACAGCGATGGAAAATCATGACGAAAGTGTAGGCCACAAACCTCCAACCCAGAGACGCATCCCTTGTAGCTTACAGCAGCATCTTGAGACTGTTGAAAGCCATTCAGCACCGGTTCCCCAAACCCAGCTTGATGGGAAGGCCTTTCAGCAATTGAGTGACCCTTCGGTTATTACTGATGGTGAAACTAGAAGCCACCACCAACCTCCTCCTGTCCCATTCCAGAAGCATCCTCCATGTTTTTCCGAAGGGAAATTCCAAGGCATCAGTCCAATTAACAGTACAGATGGTGGTTCCGACTCGGAGGCAACTTGTGTAAGATTTAAGAACTTACATGAAAGATTGGCCATAAAGGAACGTAGCTGTCCTCAGCCTGTTAGCCATCAGAAAGACCCCTCTACCTTTGAAATCCGGGAAACTCCAGTAAGGGATGACGGTTGCTCTTCTGACTGGAGCCTGGTGAGCGAGACTCTCCAAACGGACAGCAGTGATGCATTGTCTTTGTACCCAGTTCATAAACCCCATTCCAGGGCACCACTGGAATCCTGCTCACAATTTCCCACTACAAATCTCTTTTCTCACGCCAAGGAAAATTCACATGTGTTTTGCCACCAGTCTGCTGGTCATGAAGATGGGCCCCTCATTGCAAAAAGACAGGGCATGAATTACCAAGAAGGCCACCGGACTGCGATTCCTGGAGAAATGCCATATCCAAACTTGGAAGAATTAAGTCCTCTAAGCGGTGCTGCATTATGTTCGACAGAAGGGAAAAGTTACAACCCGTTGCCTTCAAGAAAACAGGTGCAAGATGTTATCCCTTTTCATCAAGATAGTGGCTTTGACAGCCCACAAATCCACTTTGATTGAACACCAGGATCAAGACTCTGCACATTCTGGAGAAAGAGATTCTTAAATATATTTAAATGAAAGCTGTGAAGGAAGCTGATTGTGGCTGTTGTGTGATTGTTTTTTACTTGTTTGTTTCTTAACCTCTATGTTTTGACTTTTACCTCAGCAAACTCAATTGTAAATATTTATGATGGTTTGGGCTACATCTTTGCTACCTGACCCTCACTATGTATAGATTGGTTTTATACCCGTGTGTTGTGTTTGAAATGATTTATTTTTATACCTCAAGATTAGCGTGCAGCCCAATGCAAAACTTTTTATATTTATACAGAAATAAAACTGACACAGTTGTCAAAGATGTTTCTTGAAAGTTGGGGATAATTTCTTTAGTTTTGTTTCCGGCAATTATTATCACTTAGTTTTCCATAAGTAAAGGCTTCCCCTTGACATTAAGTCCAGTCATGTCTGAATTTGGGGGTGGGTGGGTGTTCATCTCCATTACTAAGCCAAAGAGCCAGCGTAGTCCGCAGACACCTCCAAGGTCATGTGGCCGGCATGACTGCATGGAGTACTGTTACCCTCCCTCAGAAGCGGTACCTATTAATCTACTCACATTTGCATGTTTTCGAACTGCTAGGTAGCCAGAAGCTGGGGCTAACATTGGGAGCTCACCCCAATCCCTAGATTCAAACTGCTGACCTTTTGCAAGCTCAGCAGCTTAACCCACTGCACCACAGATGGGCGCATAGAACTCAAGACAACAGATACAGCAGGCAGGGATTGTCAACAAAGAGCGGAATCCAGTTGCTGTTGTTTACATGCTATGGAAGCAGTTGCAGATGCATTGCCATTGCACATGTATATATGTGTATATTGCACATAGCTGTTCATGTCCTTTTGTTTCACATTTCAGTGCATATCTGGTGTTTGTGTTCGTTTGCACAACCTTGTCATTCAACAGGACTGTATAGCATAGTTATTGCTAGACGGTTGCTATTAATATCAGACAACTCTTAAAGAAATGTCTTTAAAAAAACTATTCAAAGGCAGAAAAAAAGAAAAAACAGAAGTATTGGGTTGCTGTGAGTTTTCCGGACTCTGTGGCCATGTTCTGGAAGCATTCTCTCCTGATATTTCACCCACATCTATGGCAGGCATCCTCAGAAGTTGTGAGGTCTGTTGGAACCTAGGCAAGTGGGTCTTACATATTTGTGTAATAGTGTCCAGGGTGGGAGAAAGAACTCTGATCTGTTTGAGGCAAGTGTGAATGTTGCAATTGGCCACCTTGATTAGCATTTCTTTATTTATTTACAGTATTTATATTCCGCCCTTCTCACCCCGCAGGGGACTCAGGGCGGATTACAATGTACATATACATGGCAAACATTCAATGCCATAGACACACAACATATATAGACACAGAAGCAATTTAACAGTCCAGCTTTTCTTGAGGGCATTCTGGCCACCAGGGGAGCTGTCCCTTCATCAACCATTTCTGACACTGATGAAATAGTTCCTCATTCTTTGCATGCTTGCTGGAGATTTTTATGGCCTTGTAAATTGGTTAAATTTGCCTCCCTGCATAAGCAGTACCTAAATTTCCTATTTGACAGATGCAACTGTCTTTCAGGCTGCAAAGGTCGACAGTAAGCTACACAAATTGGTCGGACGCTCACTCCGATCCGGGCTGGCTTCGAACTCATGACCTTTCGGTCAGTTGTGATCTTAATGCAGCTGACTCCTAGCCAGCTGCGCCACAGTCCTGGTGCATTTAATGGCCTTGCAGCTTTAAAGCCTGGCTGATTGCTGCCTGGGGGATGCTTTGTTGGGAGGTGTTAGCTGGCCTTGATTGATTCTTGTCTGGAATGGCCCTGCTTTTTGAGTGTTGCTCGTTATTTACTGTTTTTTAAATACTGGTTGACAGATTTTGTTCATTTTCATGGTTTCCTCCTTTCTGTTGAAATTGTCCACATGCTTGTGGATTTCAATGGCTTCTTTGTGTAGTCTGACATGGTGGTTGTTAGAGTGGTCCAGCATTTGTGTGTTCTCAAATAATATGCTGTGTCCAGGTTGGTTCCACAGGTACTCTGCTATGGCTGACATCTCTGGCTGAAATAATCTGCAGTGCCTTTCAAGAACACCAGTGAGGTCCTGTTGTACAAACACCGCTACAGAAATGGGAAGCATCCAGTAATACAAGTAAATCCCACTTCTCTCAGTTTTTTTTCATTTCCAATATGTGTTGCTTGCTGAAAGAGACACCAGATGCACAGTAAAATTATCACTGTTTAAACTTTTCATTTTTCGTATAGAGGTTTTCCAGCATTATGCGTAAATTAGTTTTACTTCTGCAAACTAAACTCGTGTCTGAGATTTCAAAAGCGTTCATGGTTTATAGTGCAGCTCCCCCTAGTGGAGTTTTGCAAGTATGTGTTTTTTTTATAATAATAATAATAATATAATATAATATAATAAACTTTATTTATACCCCGCCACCATCTCCCCAGTGGGGATTCGGGGCAGCTAAAATGAGGCCAAGCACAAAAATTACAATACAACACAATAAAATACAGAATGCAAAAAACCAGTATGGAGTCCTTGTTGATCAAAGATTGAAAACTGCTCCCTTCCATTTAAATCAAACTTGGTTTTGCCATGATCATAACACCAGTCTCCTTATAGTAAAAGTTTTCACTATTTTGTGTTTAGGTTGATGGATGTTATGGCTGTTGCAGGGCATTCCAATACTCCACTTCGGACTGGAGCCTTGCATAAAATGTGAGCGCCACTGTTTAAGCCAGTGGTTCTCAACCTGTGGGTCCCCAGGTGTTTTGGCATACAACTCCCAGAATTCCCATCCAGTTTACCAGCTGTTGGGATTTCTGGGAGTTGAAGGCCAAAACATCTGGGGACCCACAGGTTGAGAACCACTGGTTTAAGCAGTGATTCAATAAAGAGTATTCATCAGTGCTGTGCATTGAGGACCGGGACATCCGTAGGGATACCAAGATGCTTGTTTATAAAGCTACTAGCTGTCCCCTACCAGGCGTTGCTGTGGCCCAGTCTGGTGATCTGGAAAATAAAGTAATGAGAAAGTGTTGGTTTCTAATATATGTAATTTCTTTATGCTTGTGGGTAAACAGCATTTGATTACGTTTTCTTGCCCTGGGGAAGGGAGTTGGACTGGGTGGCCTTAAGCATTTTCTATTGGACATAGAGGTTCTGTGTGGAAAGTTTGCCCCAATTCTATCCTTGGTGGGGTTCAGAATGCTCTTTGACTGTAGGTGAACTATAAATCCCAGTAACTATAACTCCCAAACGTCAAGGTTTATTTCCCCCAAGCTCCATCTGTGTTCCTAGTTGAACACAGATAGAGTATTCATGCCAAGTTTGGTCTAGATCCATCATTGTTTGAATCCACAGTGCTCTCTGGAAGTAGGTGTACTACAACCCCAAAACTCAATGTTAATGCCCACCAAACCCTTCTAGTATTTTCTGTTGGTCATGGGAGTCCTGGTTCAGTTCCATCATTGGTGGAGTTCAGAATACTCTTTGATTGTAGGTGAACTATAAATCGCAGCAACTACAACTCCCAAATGGCAAACTCAATTTTTTTGAGTGATGGTCACTCCTTGAGTTAGTAGGTGTCTTGTGGCCAAATTTGGCGGCAATTCGTCCAGTGATTTTTGAGTGATGTTAATCCCACAAACGAACATTACAATTTTTATTTATATAGATTGTCCTCCCAACCCTGCTAATACACCTGTGAGACGTGGACTATCTACAGACGTCACGTGCAACTCCTAGCACAATTCCATCAGCGTAGCTTCCGAAAAATCCTGCAAATCTCTTGGGAAGACAAGCGGACATATCAGTGCGCTGGAAGAAGCAAAGACCACCAGCATTGAAGCGATGGCCCTCCGTCATCAACTCCGCTGGACTGGCCACGTTGTCCAGATGCCCGACCACCGTCTTCCAAAGCAGTTGCTCTACTCAAGAATGGAAAACGGAATGTTGGTGGGCAGGAAAAGAAATTGAAAGATGGGCTCAAAGCCAACCTTAAAAACTGTGGCAAAGACACTGAGAACTGGGAAGCCGTTGAGCATTCCAGCTGGAGGTCAGCTGTGAATTTGAAGAGGCACAAATGGAGGGCAAAAGAGAGAAATGTGCCAAGAGGAAGGTGCGTCAAGGCAACCCCAACCGGGACCGCCTTCCACCTGGAAATCAATGCCATCACTGCGGGAAAAGATGCGGATCAAGAATAGGGCTCCAGAGTCACCTACGGACTCACCAGTACACCAATCTTGGAAGACAATCCTACTCGGACAACAAAGGATCACCTAAGTAAGGAAAGTGTGCATTGTCCAGAACTGAAGCAATGGCACTGAGTAAAATATTCCTGAGCATGATGCGATGGGGCCGACGTGAAGCAGAGCGGTTCCCAGAACACAGTGGGCTCGTTGTAATCCCAATCCTCCGATACCATGGATGTTACTTCGACTACATCAGTGGGCTACTCCCAGTGAGCTGAAACATCTCATTAGCAGGGGACTGTTTGGGGTAGAGAAGCAAGACAACAACGCCTATTCCCACAACTGACATGTTGTTTTAAGGAATGCGAGCTTTGATTCTGCAGCTGCTGCTCTTCAGGTCAACCAGGGGTTTTGCAGCCATGAGACTGAAGGAACTCCTAGTCCAGAGCTCCAATTTGGCTGACCTACATTGTATTTGTACACTAGCAACACCCACTGGGGAAAAAAAGAGCTTTGCATTGTTTGATACACAATCTTAATCCAGCAACAAACCATTTATCCCAAAATGGGGCACAAACTGAACTGTCTTCCTCTGGAAAAATACGGGCACTTCAGTCAATCAATCAATTAATGGTACCATTATCATATTATCATTAATATTATTATTGTTATTATTATTTTTTACTATATTTGTATACCGCCTTTCTCAGCCCATGGGTGACTAAAGGTGGTTTACAGAGGCAAAATTCAATGCCCAGGAACATCATAAAACATTTATGATACCACGTAAGAATAAAAAACGACAGATCCTTTTAAGACAGTGGTTCCCAGCCTATGGTCCGTGGACCACACCGGTGGTCTACAAGAATGAAAATTAAAATTACAGTCCACAACCCATAAGGCAATGCAATAGTCATTCACATCTTGCACAGAAAGAATATACCACACTATATACCACACTATATGAGGAAACATAAGCAGACCATGTTAGGATAGTACAAAAGGATGTAAAAGTACGGAATGACATTGTAAAAACAGCCTAATGAAATATATTTAAAACTGAATACAGAACACATAATTAAAAACATAATTATATGAATTTAATGTAAGTTAAAGC